TCCACGTGAATGACCTGGCCTAATTCTGTCATTGGTCCAGTTGTTCTGTGATCAAGGTATGCCGTGGGTGTAGTTACTGTTGGGCTCGGCTACGCTGGTCAGTCTCTTTGTTCGAATCACCATTGGCCATTGGTAATGTATAGATTCAGTGCCCCGTCCAACAATTTAAGGTTACTGACTTTGCTTTAACTGGTCCCTGTTACTTACGATGTGGAGGGGAGAAACAAACGTCTTTCTCTTGTTTGTTGTATCGCCTGTTTCCTGGTTATACTGCATGTGTCTAATATTTCTCTGATCCCCTCTAGCCATCTTTTCCCTGGGTCTGCCTCTTCGTCTGTGTACGTCTGATCTCTGGTTGTATGCTCTCGCTTCTATACTGTCTGCTGGTAGTCTTGACATATGTGCAAACCATGAATTTATTCGTTGTTTACGTATGTACTTCGAGCAGGGAGTCGAGCCGACTTGTTCTCTGATTAAATGTTTTAACGCCTCCATCGACAGAACATAGATCGTTTAGGAGGCGGGCTTCCGACCCAACCTGTCAGAGCCACCAGTTGTTGAGAGGGATACAACATCCCAGCTGCAGAAGACCGAGATACTCGATATAAATTTATGTTCACTCGGAAATCGAACTCGGGTCGTGGGTGGTTGACGGGTGCTCTTGTGTGGTTTGCTCAGGCTTCTTTCCTATCGAACATCTATCGTCCTGGTCTCTCCTCCTTCTTTTTTATGTCTGTTACTCTCTTGTAACACCTCTAATCTTCGGCTCTTATATGACCTTAATGTGTTGCAAGTGTCGTAAAACTCTTACTAAAACTACACTAAACTAAAGAACTCTTGCTTGCGACAGCAAAGCTCCAAACTTCTACAGCACAGACCCGATATTAATTTCTATATCATGTTTGTTTGTCAGACTATGTGCAAATACCAAGAACAATGTCCGTCTAACAACTTACCGCAGCCGGAGTCCCACATGACGCTGAGGACTGAATATTGCCACCGCCGGGTATGTCCTAGGATTGGTTACTGCCGCGCTGTAATTGTTTCCGACAATTTAATCATTTTGTGTTAGGCGCTGTGCGGTCGCAGGCAGGAGACGCCAGCTGGAGTCGGGAGGTGGTGGGGAGGATATTTGATTGAGTGTCAGGGTCTTTTGAACTTTTTGCTGGGATAGAAGCTCGACCGGTACGTTATCTGCTGAGTGTGGTCGCTTTTCCGTCCTCCAAACTGTTCTGTCCAAATGACCTGCATTCAGAAGAGCACGAAAACAATTTGACTTGAGCGTTGAACTAT